TGAAATTTAATTTTACTCCGTGAAAACTAAATTTAAGTTTAAATGGGGTGTATGAGAGAAGTATAATTTGGTTAAGATTATTTGTTAGAATTTTCTTATACCCTAGGTATTATAACATTGGTACCATTTTAGCCGTTTCAGAAATAACGTGAGTTCGGCAAGCTTTAATTTTTAGTTAATTCGGCATTTGAGAACAAGCAAGGGTATAAAAACTTCGGCTAGCCGAAGCTAGCTTTCAATCTTGTTTTTCATTTAGTTTGTTTTTCCACTATATCTTTAAAGAAAATTCTGCACTCGGTGTTTGTACAGATAAGCGAATATTTCCCAAGCCGAGGTTAAGCTGCAGTTCGTGTGGGGCAATTATGTGCGAATTGAAGAACTGAATTGAATTGAAGCTCTTATTCGCATTCATCCAGAGTGACGTTTATGTGCATATTTAAAATGCTTTCTTTGTTGTGAGTGTCGTATTCTGCGTGATACGTGGGGATGAGTCCATAGATTTAAATCTCATCGTTTTTACGTTTATGAATGTAGTGTGCGTCAGCTTTTGGGCTGACGACCAACGGACAAGCGCCACAAAACCCAGAGGCTGTTGACTCATGGGAAAAGAGGGGCGTTGGAGCATTTTTTCTTTTCCAAATCACTCGCCCATGTAGCCGCTTTCAGGCGTGAAAAAGAATGCAAGAATCATACTCGTAAATTTCAAATCGAATTGCGGACTTATCTGGACTGCTGAACGAGCAAATGGCAAACCCAGTTTGATTCACCCCAATGTTTGAGCCGAAAAGGGTATAAAAACTTCGTGCAAACTTTTTATTTTATTCTCCACAACCTGTTGGTTAATAAACAAAAAGAATATTCGGCTGACGGCTCGTCATTTCTCATGCAAATCGGATATGGAATTTTAATGTGCAAAGTGTACACTGTACATGTTCCTATATTAATTGTTTGTTTTCGCTTGCCATTGAGTGAGTGAATTCAATAAATCGCCAGTTGGCCGTGTGACACTTTCCGCGCGATAATGAGCCAAACTCAAACTCCGCCGAATGCGATTAATGGACCTGTTAAATGGAAATCGCTGGCGCTGGGTGGCGTTTTCTCAGATGGACACATCAAGGCAAGGCGAGACGAGACGATACGAGAGCAACGCACGAGTCCAGAGTGCACTGGATGCATATTTTAATTAATTACTCGGATACAGATATGTACATCTGCCGGTGTGGGCGGGTGGGCGGTGGAAGGTCAATTGGGCTGGCATTTCCTGCCCATTTGGCCAATACATAAGTCGCATTTGGCCGTGCGTCATGCGAGAAAGTTTGGGGCTGTGTCAAACACAATTAGTAATTGCTTTGATTTCCTGCCTGTGGAGGAACGTGTTCGATTTCGCACGCTTGGGAAATGGTAGTATGTAAATCGCATGTCCGACCAGTGGCGCACTTCCATTTTAGACCAGTCGAACATACACCTCAAATTGAGTCATTGCTCAATGGGAAGTTAGATCTTCTAGGCACATTGCAATTAGTACACTGACAAAACAATTGTATTCAATGCAATTTTTATACCCTTGCAGAGGGTATTATAATTTCAGTCAGAAGTTTGCAACGCAGTGAAGGAGACATCTCCGACCCTATAAAGTATATATATTCTTGATCAGCATCACTAGGCGAGTCGATCTAGCCATGTCCGTCTGTCCGTCTGTCCGTCCGTTTATATGCAAACTAGTCTCTCAGTTTTAAAGCTATCTGCATGAAACTTTCCCAAAAGTTGTCTTTCTATTGCAGGTAGTATATAAGTCGGAACGAGCCGGATCGGACGACTATAGCATATAGCTCCCATAGGAACAATCGGAAAAATAAATGAAAAAAAATTATAACTTTGCTGTTTTTTAATTTTTTGTTTAGTTCTTCGACATATAGCAATGATTAAATAATTCAGAATTATGGTTTAAATTTCATCAAAATCGGACGACTATAGCATATAGCTCCCATAGGAACAATCGGAAAAATAATTGAAAAAAAATTATAACTTTGCTGTTTTTTAATTTTTTGTTTTGTTCTTCGACATAAAACAATGGTTAAATATTTCAGAATTATGGTAAAAATTTCATCAAAATCGGACGACTATAGCATATAGCTCCCATAGGAACAATCGGAAAAATAAATGAAAAAAAATTATAACTTTTCTGTTTTTTAATTTTTTGTTGAGTTCTTCGACATTTAGTAATGGTTAAATATTTCCAATTTACGGTTTAAGTTTCATCAAAGTCGGACGACTATATCATATATCTCCCATAGGAACAATAAAAATATATAAAATAACTATCAAATAATTGAGCTGCAAATCATCATAGCTTCAATGTTTTTAAACTTATACGCAAGTAAATTATAATTTTAATGTTTTCAAAAATGTTTAATTCTTGCAATAGCTGCAAGGGTATATGAACTTCGGCTTGCCGAAGTTTGCTTTCTTTCTTGTTTTTTTTAAATTAACTTCTTAGGATAGTATTTCATAAATTCATCTATTAATTTTCATTAAGTTTTAATTTGGATTTGAGATTGAATTTTGTTTAACTTATTATATTTTAAAATAGTTAATCCAGACATTAGTACTCAATAATTAAATACATTCCATAATATAATGATCCCGATTTAGCATTTAGCTAAATCCATAAAGGTAGCGAGTGATCCGCAAATTTGTTGTAGGCTTATTCAAAAACTGTCAACTTAAATGGTTGTTTTCATCATTTTGTGTAAAGGTAATTTTTTAGTAGTTTACATTTTTCATAAAGAAAACAGACGTTTTTGAGTGTAGGCTCATACACTTGTAGGCACGCTTATAAATAAATAAGTTTCCCCATATCGGACAGACGTCCATGCCCGCCACCCACACAAATAATGCAATATTATACAAACGGAGGCGACAGGCGGACGTAGAAAAGATACCCATACCCGTAGTCGTGGTTGTACGTACCCCCTGGCATTACCAGACGACACATCTCCATCTCCATAATTGATTTGTCACGAGCTCTGGCTCCTAGCAATCTGAACTCGAGGACTGTTCGGAAACTCCCAACCAGCCAATGTTGAATGGAAAGCTAAAGCTAACGCAGCAGATATGGTTATCATTCTTGTATGCATTCTCAGAGAAACCGAATAAACAAGATAGTGTCCCTCTTAGTCACTCACATCGAAAATGTTACTAACCTTTCTTATGCTGTATTATCAGTGAGATTTTTCCATCCGCAGGAAGCGTCGATAAGTAGTTTCTCGATCCTGACCATTTAGTTAATTTTTGAGGGAATGATACATGCACAACTTCCTACGAAAATTGCGTAACTTCCATTGAGTAACAAGCCTAACACTTCGAACCGATAAACCAAATGTATTGATAACGCATCAATATTTCCAAATATTACGTACTTGACCATGTGTCACCGGTAGCGTTTGTCATTTGTACTTTATTTGGGTCAACGTTTGTCATTTGTACTTTATTTGGGTCAACTGCAGAGCAGAAATCGGTTTTGCATCCAATATCGTGTTCAATTAGCACTTGAACCCAAGACCTCAAGTCTAGGTTCAGTCATTGCCGGCAAGTTGTTTCGGATATCTGTAGGTACAGTGTTGTTTGGCCTTATAAGATACATTTAGTTTATTTTGAAATATATTGGAAATTATTAAAATTAAAATTACGATATAATAATATGAATTTCTCTACTAAAAAACCATTTGCGGCTTATTTGACTAATAACAATGGTTTATACTGTACCCAGACTGTGCTATATGTACGATATACGCATGTGCGTATCTACAAAACGTCAATTTGTATGACTTTCGTTCTTGTCATCAATATACAAGATCAACTTGAATCTATTGTAGATTGGATATAATTAAGTGACAATAAATTGAATTTAAAGTGGGCATTGATCTTCGTGACTATAGAAAACATAAGCATATCATCTTTTTAGGTTTGAAGGTTGCTTGTAGGGAGTATTTATCAGTGAAACTTTGGGATTTCCAACCGATTGTGATTCGATAAAGTTGAGTACTACGGTGAGTAATCGGTCAACGGCCAATTTACGTGCGTAAATTGATTAGCGCTTCATTCAAAAATAAAACCGGTTCGGTCAACCAGAAAAACCCCCAACGCCGTTGATATCTTTTTTCACTCCCAGTTTGTGATTTCGACCGTATCTTGAAAAATGTCTCATTCATTGATAAAACCCCAAATTAAAAGATCTTAAAATATTAAATCTTAAGTCATCCGTCACTAATCTCTTCTTCCAAATATGTTGACTTTTTCACAGAAATAGTCCATCAATCATTATTATTCGCCTTCTGTTTTGTGTTGATTGTGCAACCGGCGCCAATCTTGGCATAAGAGTGGTAAAACTCTTCTTAGGTAGCATAAATGGGAACACCAAAAAGCGGACACCCACAACGATCAGATCAGTTGGGCTCTTAATGCACACTCTTCAAATAGATTCTTAAAAACACAGAGAAAAAAGTGGTGCATAAAAATAAATTGATCACAACATTGTTCATGTGTGAATAAAAGAATAAACTTAAAATTTTAACAATTAAGTTTAAGTTCAATTTTATTTTATTTTGTTATTTTTTTTCGCACGTACAAAAATAATTAAAGAAAATCGCCTTTGGATTTATTTGCGATTTTGCCTATATTACAGAAAGAAGGTTCTTAAAATTAACTTTTTTTTTTGTAGACACAGCCTGAGCTAGAGGCTGACAGTAGCCAGCTTTTTAAAAATGTTCTTTAATTCTATATTTTTCTTTTTGTGCATACTTAAGAGAGACTTGATAACGTAAGTCAAAAACGATGGAGTAGTTGGGGCAGTATCCTTAAGTTACATCGCTCTCCCATGCCATGATCGCTTTCTCTTGCGCTCTTTTTCCGCGGATTGAGCGCCGATAAAGAGAAACGCGCGGCTCTTTGCGCTCTTTGTGCTACCATGGCAAGTCGCTACACGTCGCATCAAGACAACAGTCTCTGCCTGACAGTCGCGCGGCTTAACCGCTATTCCACTCGGCGGTGTAACGAGATTTTTCATTTCGAACACAACAGAAATAAAAAAATATATAAAACACAAAAAAAAAACATCGAGATTTATGCTTACACGAAACACGCGAATAAAGAGAGTGCCGCCCACTTGTCGTTTCTTTTGTGGGGCGAACAAAGCCGAATAACGGTAAACGGGCAACGGGAATCGGGAATCTGTATCGGGAATATACTAAAAAAACGGAAGAACAAGGAATGTGATTCCTTTGTGCAGGCATTGCGTGCTATTTAATTGTGTTTCTGTGGCCCAGTGGCAAATGTGCATTTAATATTGAATTTACAATTTTAATTCAATCCAGCCCAACCCAATTTAAGGCCCCCTGCTCCTGTTTTCCACCATTCGTATGCGTCATATGTAAAAGAGCGGAAAAGGGCGAAAAGGAGAGAGAGCCAGCGAAAGAAGCGGTGGCCACAACAAAAACAACCAACACAGAACAAGAAGCGCAAAACAGAACAACGGTACCCCAACACCCCCCACACCAGCTCCTTCCGTTGTTTTTGTTGCTGCTGCAGCTGTTTTATGCTGCCGGCAATTTGTGTGTGCCACCAATGCGCATGTGTGTGTGTGTCAACCCCCGCGGCCAAAAAGAAACAACGAAAATAAAATAAAAGTGAAAAGAACAATTCCTCATCACCATTAGGAATTGTTAGTTCAGCACATCAATTAATTAAGTCTCAAAAATAAAAGAAATTAAAGATACATAAATAGTTATCCACGAGTATTAAGTGATCAAGGAAAGTGCCAATCTTTTGTGTTCTTTTTCTCGGGAAAGAAAGAGAGCGCTTAAAAATGTGCTCCACACGTGTCGTCGCCGTCCTGCTCGCCTTCGTTGCGCTGGCTTCTTGCATCCTGGACGTGCCCCTGCGCCTCGATATATCCCCGCCCACTTCTGAACAGCTGGATATGCAGGCAATTAACCCCAAAGAAACAAAAAACATCGTCTCCGAGGATCTCATGGTGAGTTGACGCCAATTCATATCATTCAGATGCATAGCTAAAAAGTTACTTAAAGGATTAAAAAATATATGTATTTAGTTTAATTGGCTCTTAAATACACATTAATTTTCTGATCTAATAAGATGTAAAGTTGTATATTTGTTTTGATGAAAACCCTAGTGTTTCAAGATAGAGACCTACAAATATTAAAATATTAAAAAGGCAATTTGAACAAAAACAATCCCATATTCAAGTATGCACTTAAAAATGTAATATGCAATATTCAGTTTTAGAGTCAAGTTTATATCTTAGTCTAGATATGGATTTATTCCAATGGTGGAATAAATAAATTAATGAATAGATTACATAGATATTCAATCAATCAATGCATAACAAAGTTTGACACAATTGCCCATTTCAATAAAAATTGATCAATTATTAACGTTTGGCCCCTAGAGGCCAGCCAAGCGGTTGAATAAAGTCCGCAAATGATTGCAATAAAAGCAATTACTGCTACTGTGGTATAAATAATAAAACCTTATAAACAAGAAGTACAAAATTCAAAATTAAATTCAACGAGAAGGTAAGGAAAAAGCAGGAGGGTCAGTGGCAAACATCTGAAAATTAAATCAACACAGAGGAGTGTTCCCATTGCAGTTGCAGTAGCAGCTTCAGATACTCAATTCGAATCCGTATGCGAGCATCGAGATAAGGCGGATCCGATGGCCCCTAATACCCCCTCTTCAATCCACAGGGCAGATGCCGCATGTTTATGCTGTGGCTGCTCATGCCTATGACCCAAAATCCCAAAATGGTCTACATCCATTTGCATAAACAGTACGCGCCATTGAAATAAAACTATTACACACAGTTTGAATGAATATTAATTAAATCTGAAAAAAGATAATTATTTATAGTATCATTGGTCTGACATTTGAGTAACATACTTCATCCAAATTAAATTTTGACTAAAACCATCACGCTGAGTCCAAATCTTTTTTCTGACTGAATAAGACTTAAAATTTTTTATTTACTATTAGTTCGAAACTTAAAGGAACATAATCAGGTTTTTAACAAATTCCGTTTATTTTAAATACAAACTACATATGTGTTAAAATAAAAAAAAAGTGCGTGTTTATTTTTCGTAACGCACTGCACATGTGTGCATTCACACGCCTCGAGATGAGGGCCACCAGTAGTCACGGGTTTGGCCACTGCAGTTCGTAGTGCACAATGCACGCTTATTGTTTGGGGCCATGGATCCCTTGGTTGTTAATGTATTTGTGGGTCTGCCCCCCTTTTGCTGCACCGACCCCTCTTCGCCTCCGCCCATGTGAGCTCCCGCCACTAGGACATTTGCTTGCGGATTGCTGCAGTTAATGAGCGCGGGCGCCTTTTTAATCAGAATAACAAAATATGAGCAATTTACCCATTATGGCTGCCTTTTGTTTCTTGTTTTCTGTATGCCAAGGAGTCGCGGTGGCATTCTTGAAGGCGCCGCAGGACATTGAACCCGTGCCGCTGACTCAGAAGGGCCAGACATGCGAGGCGGCCAGGATGAACTATTTATGTACTCCGCCAGTCGGCCGACCCTTCGGCCCTGTAGTTGGACCGAATCTTGGCGTTTATTAAAGTGCGAAAACCGTAATTGAAGGGCCTGAACGTTCCGGAAACATAAATAAGTATATTTTAGAACCAAATATTAAAATAAATGGTGAACTTTTGTTATTGAATTAGCAAGAGGATTATAAAAATGCAGTACCACCAAAAGTTTGAGTTAGAAATTACTCAAATCCACAGATAAAAGTTGAGAAGGTGCTTTGTGTCCCTGAAACAGTGTGAAGGTCGAGGACGTCACTGTGCCCGCATATTGTTTATTTAGTAAGGATATCGAAAACGATGGATGTCGCCGCTCTCCAGCTGCCCTTTGGATAAGCACGGCGAACATATGCCATATAGATATATGTAGGTATGTGCATACGCATATATGGAACACTATATATAGCGGCGATATGAGCGGAACCGAAAAGAAAAGAACTGAGTCCGAAGCGGACCGAGTTGGGAAGACGACGAGTTGAGTTGAGTTTTGCTGGGTTGAGTTCGACTGAGTGTCGCCAGCTAGGCGATGCCATAAAGTCGGTTCAATAAACGCACTCGCACACCCCCCAAACACACACACACATACACACAATCACTCTCCGGATTGTTCACATACACTCACGCAATCGCGCTTATGAGTGGCGTGTAATCAAATAACTGATGAAAATGGAGCCAAGACGAAGCATAAGATGCGGTACACAGAGAGAAAAACCAGAATTATATTGGACTTGTGCAAATTTACGGTTTTCTGAAATCACATTTTTTTGGTGCCTAAAACTAGGAAACGTTCTTTTTTTGACGTTGATGCTCTATTGTCAGTACCAACAAGTTGCTTTTACGACATCAAGCAATGCTTGATATGCGCGGTCCCCAGGGGGGCATTCAAAGAGTTATTTTCAGTGTGTTCAACAATATTGTTTTTAGATAAATCAAACCATCTTAAAAAAAGAAGAATCTATTTAAGGTATATTATATTTTAATTATCACAGGTGCCGAAAATAGTGCAATGTGTATTAAAAATCAGTAGATCTAACAGCAAAAAAATTATCTTACTGATATAGAAATGTTTTTGATTTTGAAACATTGAATAAACCAAAAAAAAATTAGGTTATACAAGTAAGTTAATAAAAATATTTAAATTTATTTATGTTTAACCAAAGAGAAGACATTGTTTTTCCTTCGTGTATTGGTTTTATTCTTTGGGGGTGTAAGGAGAGGGCTTCTGATAGGAAAAGTACGGGGTGGCAGGGTCACGGCACTGCACAGCGGTTGCATGCCCCAGCGGAAGTAGTCCGGAAAATGTACATACACACATAGAAAGTGAAGTGAAGTTAACTTATCTGCACGCGCACAACCACACACATTTGCATGTCGCCACGCACAAGCCTCTATATAAATGTGGATATATCTGTCTGAAGGAGAAGAGAAGGGCCTGCAAAGATATATATAAACTCCCGCTGCCACTGACACTGAGACAGGGACAGGGACAAAAAGGAAGACAGAGACAGACAGACAGACCTAACAAACTGTTGCAATTTGCTTTCAAGTTTTCGCAAAATAATTGGCACAACTATAGGAAGCAGCAGAAGGAAGCGTTGTCATCCGCAGACTTTGGGGACTTTCAACTTTCGTGTTTGTATTTGTAATTGCTATTTGCGGCCGAGGTCTGTCTTCCTTTCGTTCGTATTGCCACTCGAGGGTAGTTTTCTAATAAATTTAGCAGAGAAAGAAAGCACAATGAAATTTTGGTCAGCGACAAAAACAGGTGTTTCCTGTTCTTCATAGGAGCTAAAAGTGATCGAAAAATGTGCATGATTCATTTCAAAATCCAAGAAAAACTCTTGAGTTGAAAGGAAAATTTTCAAACATTTGTTTCTAAATATAAACAGCTGTGATAATATACAATTTATTGCTTTTCAATCCAATCACTGGACATGTATTCGAAGAAATCCAATTTAACTCCATTAATTATATTTTCTTGGGACAATATTATCAATTACTGAAACCTCCATAGTGAGATATTTATGAACCGTCGACAATAATATTAATTATATATAACCAATTTTAAGTTGAATTCAGTTGAGCTTGAAATTTGTCAATTATGCATGTTTAAAGAAGCAAATGGAAGATTTCCAGCAAGAAATGGTGAGGACTTCTTCTTATGAATCCCTGCATAATGCACAACCCTTGGTTTCTTTATGTTGACGTTAAAGGCACATTACACATTACAGTTATACGCTTTATTACTCATTTTTAATTGATCCATTGTCGGGACCCCCGAATTCCTTAATATTCATCAAATTTCTCATTTTTCGGAATGCAATTAACGCAGTTGCAACTGATGGGAGTCATTCTGGGCATTTTCGTTGATTGTTTTATGGCTTCCTGGTAGGAGGGCCAGTCCCCAGTTCGAAATGCAACCCTCCCCGATCGGTGGAATTACTTTTATGGCACACTCAAGGCAGGGCAGGGCAAGTTTCTGACAAAAACAATCAGCCAGCCTCTTAATAGGCTTATGACAATTCTTGGAGCGCCAGTTGAATGCACCGAGCGTCAACAGTCATATAGTAGCAGACAGATCGGATCGTATAATTTTTAAATGCCAACTCCGTAAGCGATAATCAAAAACAGGAACAGCGAGGGAGTGAATCGAGTCAGATCCAACTTGGAACAGATTAAATTTGCCGCTATTAATTAACTGGCGACGATCTCCAGACACATTAAGTCAAGTCAAAGCTGCTGATTCAGTGTCGTTCCAAAAGCCGGGAAAATGCAGGGGGGATTTTAATAAATCGAGCAGCACATTAACGTTATTATCAATTACAATAACAGATATTTCCGCTCGAATCGTTGACACGACACCGATGCTCGTTTCTTTCGAATAAATTAACATTTTTGTAAGGTAATTTGTCAGAGAATGAGTGCGACCCACTGAAAAATGCCGCCTGACACCTGTAAAATGCGTTAATGAGACCTGCCCGGCTACTTGGACAGGAAATCCCTGATCCCACATTAAGTCAATGACTAACAGCTTCATATGATTTTTTTCGTGTCATGGGGAAAATATAAACAATAGAAGGCTTTAATTTAAAGTTCATGATTCACATCTAATCGCTTAAAGCTCATTAAATTAAAAACCTAGATATTATCAGTTGTACGTGTTATTTCAGCTTAAAAATACAATATAAACTAAAACAATATTATCAGAAGCTTTGTTATTGTAGGATGAAAATAAGAAAGATAAAAATAAATAATAACAAAGCTGTGGAAAACAGTGCCAAACGGCTTTTGCTACTAAAAAAAAATTGTTTTCATTAAAATATTTATGGGGAATTCCTAGTTTTAATTAGAGTACTTTTCCATGGAAAATGCCCGTTTTTCGCTGACTTCCGACAACAAATTTAATCCTGTGTGAAGTAAAA